ACATTATTCTCTCATGTGTCTTTGTCCATGCTCTATACCTCCTTGATGTAATAAGATCATGAAGTGCTTGCAAGGCTTCTTGCTTTTGTCCAACATTAATCAGCTCTACATCAGAATAAGCTCAGGAATGATTAAAGAGAATAAGTGAGTGCTTTTGATTGCCCAATACTACCAATACAGCAAACCTAAAGACATAATCTGTGCTTGTAACTATTCTAATACAAAACATTTAAGACACTTAGTGTACTAAACGCTCCATCCCCCAACCCCACTGACCCACCCACCCACCCAAAAAAAAGACTATGACAGAAACAACTAACCTTCAGCTCGCTTCAAAGCACTCTCAGGTTTGGCAAAATTCGCCATTGTGAGGATCTAGAAAGCTAGACCTTTCACCTGAAGATGACTAGTTAGATGAAAGAAGATTAGACAAAATCTTCCAACAACAAATAACAACAATATGACCATTAAATACTTGAATCATGTGTCAAGGAACTGCTAAAAATAATCCTTTACAATGAGCCAAAAAAAAATAAAAAATTATAGTCTTTTTTGCTAAAAACAAACAGCAACACTCATTGTTTTAAAACATAAAAGAGTTCCTTGAAATCTTTCACTGGGTGAAAAAACTGAAGGCACCACAGATTTTGCGAAGTTACAGAAAACTAACAAGTTTAGAACACAAATGTAGAAGAAGAACAACAACTATTTTCTTTCCATCTCAATTTTACAAACTGGAAAAAAAAATCTGCATGACAAAACGATCTCAATCCTCACACAACTATCCATATGAACAATATTTAATAATCAACTACGCCTCAATTTGTGGTTCAAGCTAGTAAATAATAATGCATTTTCAAAACAAATTAGGATATGCTTAAAACACAGCATATCAAAGCCGTCTAAAAGATGGAATACAAAAATAATAGCATTAACAACAACGAAATAATGTGAAAAAGATCATTATTACTAATAAACTAAGATGAAAATTCAACTTCAAATCTGAAATTTTACATCACAAACTCCGCAAAATATTCACAAAAAAATACAAAAATTACTGATCCAACTGCATTATTTGCATGTTAATGCACATACCTGTATAGAGAGTTCTATATGCTAAAACTACCAATTATAAACAAAAAAAATCATCAATAAGGGACAAAAAAATAGAAAAACATGTGAAAACTAGCAACATTGCTATACAAAATTATGAAACAATTAGAGGAATTGATATATACCTGGATTTCGATCTATTTAATCGGCCGCTATATCATTTTGCCCTAAAACCTGCGAAGAAGAAGAAGAAGAAGTTTAAAGGATGAGATGTTGGGGTTTATAGTTTTCGGTAGTTTTATTAAGACCGGGTCTAGTATGTTAGCTCCGGTTTAATTAACCCGGTTTTTTCTTACCTCTTGGTCTCTTGGAAATTGGAATTTAGGGTTGCAATCCAATTTTGTAAAAGCGCAGTCATATTAAATTTTGGGAAAAGCCTCAAATATGTTAATCGAACTTTTAAAAAAGGATCATTTATGTTATCGGTTAAAAATTTAGCTTATTTATGTCATTATCGTTAAAAAAAATGCTCATTATTATTTTTTAACAATGATTTTGCAAAATCACTGTTAAAAAATAATGGCATGAATGAGTGTTTTTTTTAACGGTATTGACATAAATGAGACAAACTTTTAACTGAGGGCATAAAGTCTTTTCTGAAAATTTAATGACATATTTGAGTCTTTTCCCTAAATTTTGTAAGGAAAAATCGTTATTATAATTACTATGATTTTAAAATATTACTACCTAACATAGCTATGCTTAAAATTTTATATTTCTCTTATTACTCAACTAGTGAATTTGATCGCGCTACGCGCGGGTTTAATATTTCTGGTAAAATTTTACTTCATTTAGCAAAATTTATCATTACAATTGTTTTTTTATCTCTACAACTTTACAAACCATTATTTCCTTTAATTCCACCTTTACATAAACTTGGTAACTTTTGTTTTATCTTTTAAATATTTAACGATATTGTTATCTCTCATGCACTTGTTATTTGAATTATAACTATAAAATTTTCCGAGTATATACATATTCACATACATAACTTTTCTTATTTTTATTTTTTGTAATTTTTTCTATTTTAGAAGGTCATGAATATTTCATCCCGCAAACATATAAAAGGTGAATGTCAAATATTAAAAAAAAAATTTGTAAGTTTTTGTGATATAAACAAAAAGAATAAAATGGACATTTTATTTTTAGTTGTATCAAATTTAAATTTATTTAATTTTATATAGTTGCTTGTTTAATTATTATTTTTCTCTCTAATTATAACAACCTAGTATCCATTTATTGCTTCAATGCATAAATAATTACAAGTAAATAAGAAACTTTTACAAATATTTTCGTAAGCAATTTCAAAATAGAATTCTTAGTCGTCCACCACAATATTGCTCCATCTCTCATATTATTTTTTCACTATTGTGTTTTATAAAAAATAAAATACAAAAAGAGATGAACATGAGTGTATTTACTGATTTGCAAAAAGAAAATCACACTTGAATGAAGCTTATCTTGCTTAGTTGATAAATCTTCTCTTTCTAAATATGTTATCGCTGATAATATTACATTTTCATATAATTTGTAGTGAAAAGAGTAAATTGACCATTGGAAGAAAATTTTAATTTACAATGAACCAGTTAGATGAGTAATAATTCTAATCAATAACGAAAAGTCAGTAACTTCGTATTCTTAGTAACATCATATATCTATGTGATCTACAATAAGAAATTTAAACGACAATCATATTTTCTTTATTCACGAAAAACTAATTATTACGTAATTACAATTTATAAACCTTATGTACAATTTATAATGATAAGTCACTATATAACTTTTAGAAATATTTGTGTTGAAAAGTTAAAGTATTAATTTTTTTGGTAAAATTTGGACACCAACCAAAAGAATGATAAAACAACTGCTTACACTTCATATTTCAACTCCTCTCATAAATCAATAAAGAGATAATATCTATATAACTTGCAAATAATTAACGTCTAATTAGAGTATTATCTTCATAAGATATATAAATTAAAATTTATTGAGGTAAATAAAAATAAAGACAACAATTAAGATATCGTAATACTAAATTGAGAGAGAATAAAGGAAGAGATATAAAATGAACAAATAGGGGTAAAAATAAAATAAGCGCAGAAAGAAAAATAGAGAAATTGTGTTAGAATTTTGAAGTAGTTCATTTGATAGTAAAATTCTGAAACGTTGCATTATCTATTTCATCAAAGAGTTGCAATTAAGTGGATGCATTTCTTTTTTTATTATTATTGAAATTCTGTATCCATAACCATTTTTTCCATAATTAAGCACACTAATTATGGGAAAGTAAATATTGATTACGAGGAATGAAATGAGTATAATTTTAAAATGCCAAAATGATAGCCTTTGAAATTTTTTATTTGTAGCAAGGTATAATTGATCATTAATTAATAATTATTAATAATACAATTGTGTAAAAATAGAGAAAAATGCATAGATCTTAAGTAAATAGACAAATACCTTTTGTGATCATGAGGCATGCCGTACATTAAAATGATAATAATAAAATAATAATAATTATTATTATTATAATAAAAAAAACTATTGGCTTATATAAAAAAGCTCCATGGTAATATCCTTAACATATATACATACATTAAAAATTAATCAAGAATAGATAAAATAAACTCTTAGCTTACCTCTTTTGCTCTTCATATAAAAAGCTTCATAATAATTATCCTGTTTAAAAGGATGCTAATATATATACATAAAAAATAAAGATCATGGATGGATAAAATAATAGGAAGAAGATGAAAGAGAGAGAGAAAAAAATTACATGAAACCCTCCAAAAAGGTATAAGAAAATATGAAAAAAAAATACTTACATGAAACTCCAAAGAAAATGTCTAAGAAGGTATGAATATTATGTATTTAGATGTGTGATCATGCACATTAATTACACTATTATGTATTTAGATGTTACATATTTCCTTTTGAAAGGAAGAGTTAAATGTACTAAAGGCTAATAATTAGGAAAGTGGATAATTATTTTTAAAGGTTATTGAACAAAAAATGAGAGAAAAAAAATTAAAATTCTAAAAATTAAAATAATACAGTATGTTGATCAATGAAGCATGCCACATCAACATGATTTTATTCAGCTTTATATTATATATAGATTTCTTTCTCTATTCTGCATCCCTTTTCTTATTCATGAATTGCATCACTATATTTTACCCTTGTATTGAACAATGAGACTCCATAGCAAAGATAAATAATTAACTCATACAAGATTGAAAAAACAATCATGGATACAATCTAATACAAGTAATGATTGGTTGGCATTGTATTTGATACATCTCCCTCTGGTAATATTATAACGCATATTACGAGTATGTAACATTTTAAAGTACTACCAATACACAAAGCTAATATATTTATTAGTTTTTCTAATATATTCTATCCAACGAATCCTTAATAGTAGTCACCAGTGGAACATTCTTCTTAAGACCAGCCTCTCCATTGTCTGCAGCCTTCTCAAAATACTATTTTTGCCTGCTACAGAGAGCAACTAGTATGTCCTTTGACATAGAGATCAGCCCAAATCATTGTAAGCAGAATAAAGTTGCTGCTTGGTAAAGTTCCTTTCAGCATAGTTGCTAGAACGTTACCCAAATGGTATTACTTGACTTAGATACAAAATTAGTCGGGGCTCCAAAGTAAGCTATTTGCAATATTAAACAATCTGAAGAATAAGTCAATACAAGGACATCAAAAAGAATTAGTTTCTACAATTTTTATTTGATAAAAGAATAGAGTATCTCATTGAACTGCTACCATTCTTATAAATATGATCCATAGTTTGAGGAAGCACTCTCCAAATGCGAAATCGTCAGTTGTTATTTACATCTCCTCAAACTCCAGAACCAAAATCTTAGGGTAAGATATCAGTCAAAGTTCAAAAATAATTTTATCATGTCTGATCCTTCACAAAGAATACTTACGAGTAGCTCGTAGAATCAAGCAACAAATTAAACACTCAGATGAATGATTTCTAATCAAATTAAACACATCTTATATTAGACCACCCACCATAAAGCTCGTTCAAGAATCAAAATGTAACGCTTGGTACTGATATAGCCAGTTTTTGTCCCACAAGCTATGAACAGTTTAAATAAGATGATTGCATCAAGATTCTCCCTTTTACAGGTCTATCTGGTATCTAATCATCCATACCTAGTTTGCACGACTTTTAATTACATCAAGTTCCATTTCAGTTGGATCAGTAGCCTGCAACTCAATCTGAATTCCGTCAAGCTCTCTCTTGAATCTGTCCTTTGAACTGGCATAGATCATCTTGCTTCTCACTCTTGCTGTGTCAGGGGACCTTAACAAAGAAAAACCACAAATGAGACAAAATTGGTGTGACTCTATCGTATCCATTAAAATGCCTAGGAACATTTTGAATACCATGCGATGAAAAAGATCCTGCTTTTTTGGCAATTTTCCTCAGTTACGAAGTCAAAATCGTAGACAGCATATCTGCATTCATCAGCAGGAAGACTTTCAGCAAAGTCCTCATAGCTTTGAGTTGGCTCACCAACTTTTTCAACCACAACTTGCTTTTGCTTCTCTTCTATCTTAAAAACAATAAATCGGTGAGTTCTTTTTGTTTTCAGCTCCAAGAACGTTAATTTGCAGTCATCATGCACTGCCATCCCAGATGCTGCGTTAGCCTATAGTAAGAAGAATCACATCCCCCAATCATGTTAGAAAACTTCCACATATAATTGATCACATGAGCATCTATAGCTCAAAAATTATAATGCAATTAAAAAATAGCTGAAGAATATAAATGGAATGGACCTTCAAGATAAGTTTTGATTGCATCTAGTTGATCAATCAACACCCCTAAACCAGTAGAATTCAAATTCTACTCTATTTCTATCTTCTTTTCCCTATGGTAATTTGAATCCCAAAACTCATGGTTGGTGATGGAGACATGTTCACTAGGTTATTCGTAACTTATCAGGCCATTGCATTACTATGCAGCAGCAATTGTCTGTCTGAACACCATCCAGAATACAGAATAACACCTATCTCACCCCGTTGTTTCATTTTGAGATAAACTTTTTAAAATGGATGACAGGGAGAGTGGAGGGGATAAAGGTTTTGGCAACAAATGCAAGTGAAGACATCATAACAAAGCTGAGTGGTTAAGAACCATGACGTCTCAGGTTCAAATCTGCTGAAGAGAAAAACATAAGGTGATTTCTTTTCATATGTTCAATCCTAGGGCAGAGTTATCCAATACATGTGTTGGCGGGAGGTAACACGTAATTATGAAATAAGTCGAGATGGACACAAGCTGACTCGAACTCCATGGGCCATAGTTACAAGGAAAATATGCAGGCGAAGACATCATAAAAAACAGTGATCTTCCTAAATATTTCAGTACACTACATTGCTATTTCAGACTGGTAATAGCTGGATTGAATTAAACTCTAAAACAAAAATAAAAAATAAAAAATACTCATAATCGTTTTAAAGGAATAGGCAGAGATCAATCATCCTATTCACTATAGAGTAGACTAGGGTAACTAGGTTCCATTATACATGGAACAACATTTTTTTTTCAGCTTTCTTGATAACCATGGTATTGGGATGGACCTGCCACCTAACTCTGTACATACAGGAAGAAATCACCTAGTTGAACCTGAAACCTCATGCTGCTCAACCCACGTCATTGACCACTAAGTTACACCCTTGGGTGCTACAGGAACAACATCTCAAAGACATAAATCCTACTATATAGTTTACTTTTTTTATAAGTCCAAAAATCCACTCAATTTGAAAGAGTACAAATCCATGTTCATAAAGGGGAATTAAACGATGTGTAACAAAGTCAGTAGATCAATCAAATTATCAAACACCTTATATACCAGCTCACTTTTTCAGCTAAACCCAGATGAAAATGAATCAAAAATGTTCAACTAAGCAATATATAATTGAATCAATCCTGAATTTCTACAAGATCTCCCACACAGCTAATCTCAAAATATTCTAAAAAAATCACCACTAAAGGAAGTGGTGCAGCGTATGGCTCTGCTGCTACTCCCTTAACGAGATCTCAATATCGATCCTACATATGGAAAATACTCAGTATAGAGTGTTTTCCCAAAACAAGCCCTATGCGGCGCGAATCCAAATTAATCAGACTAAACACCATGCAAATGCAAATGCAAGCAACTACAAAATTCACAATTTAGATGAACAACCAAATAGCTTCTCTCTGATCAGATAAATCACGTATCAAAATCCAAAAAAAAAAAACAACGATCATACAACACAATAGAAAAGTAATTATGCTTATTTGAAAGTAAAAAAAAATACAATAGAAAAAATCGAAGACTCACCATATTGATTGTACAGAGAGAGAGTATTAAGTTTGAAGAAGAACGAAAATTCAGAGAGATCAAAGTAGTAAGGAAATAAGAAGTTAAAAAGGAGGATTTTGTGGAGCTGAATAACGGGGTTTCTGTGAATTTAGAACGGTGAGGCAGTTAGGGTGTGGAGTGTAAAAGCAATGACTTTGCGCCGCGTAAAAGATTTTTGTTTATATATAATAGGAAAAAGCACAAGGCGTAATACATATATTGAATTTTAAATTTGAGTTTAAATTTTAATTTTTTGCTTATAACTTTTATAATGCACAAAATAGACATTTTAAATAAATAAATACATGAGTCTACATGACACAATACGCATTGGACAAAAAATGACATGTAAGACATGTTTAACTTTATACAAATTTAAGTGTTTATTTGTGCACACTCAAAGTTGAAGGACTTAAATGTGAATCAAACCCAAGTTAAAGGGTATATTTATGTATTATATATCCAACTATAATAAATATGGTATGCAGTTGGCAGATACCCTTTATATTAATCGATATATATGTGTCATAATCTTCTCTATCGATCCAATATTTATTAAATATCGAATTAACTAATAAGGTTGTGTCACGTGTCCCTATTTAATCTTCTGTTAGAGTAAAGGGCATATATGTTGTAGGCATAATACATAAATATGCCCTTTAACTTGGCTTCAAATCACATTTATGTCCTTCAACTTTAGATGTGCACAAATAGACACTTAAACTTGTATAAAGTTGAACAAATAAACACACATGTCCTACATGTCATCCCACATGTCATTTTTTGTCATACGTGGTACGTGTATTGTGACATGTAGGACTCATGTGTTTATTGATTTAAAAGTTGGATAGTTTAAGTGTTTGTTTGTGCGTTATGAAAGTTGAAGGTCAAAGTTAAAATTTGAAGTCAAGTTTAGGGTCTAATATATGTATTATGCCTATGTTGTAAGGGGCACCAATTTCCCAAAAATATGGTGGAGGATATCTGCGTATCATTTACGATAATTCAAAGTTATATTTGTTCTTTTTCCTATATATTATGTAGGAAGAATACATAAACTTGACTATTAACTTGGCGTCAACGGTCAATTATAACATTTAATTTTGGATTTATACAAGTAGACACTTAAGCTTGTATAAAATCGAACAAATGAACACATTTGTTATATATGATACTCTAAATGACGATTGTGTGTCCTACGTGGTGTCCTACATGTATTATGACATGTAAAAACATGTATGTCTACTTGTTCAATTTTATATAAGTTTAACTCTGTATTTGTGCATAACTAAAGTTAGAGACATAATTGTCCGCTAAAGCCAAGTTAAAGATTGTGTTTATGTATTATATATGTTGTTTGATTTGTTTTAACTAAAATATATGCTTCTAACTTTAAGTGTGCACGTATATTTACTTAAATTTATATAAAATTGAATAAATAGAATATTTATCATACTCAGTATTATATTTGATTTTTTTATTTTTAAAATAGTTATACCGATGTTAATGTTAGTTTCTATTTGAAATTATTATTTAAATAATGTAACTCTATGCTGTGACATTTATCTACTACATAATATGGCATATACGTGCAATATACGTCTTGCGTAGCTAGAATATTAGAAATAATCAAATTTAAACTGAATTTTGAGTAGAATGTTTACCAACAATGTGCATTCTGTAATTTTATATCAATTCTGAATTAGATTTTGTCACTATTCTTGAATGTGGTGCGGGCCATTGATCTCTCTTTCACTCAAAACAAGAGTTATGAACGGTTTTTCTTTCCTTCAAGGCTCCGAGATAAAAATACAATTTTTACGAAAAATTGTTCAAAAAAATTCAATTCATGTTTGCTCGTCAACAAGAAGCACACAAACAACATGTATCAAGTGATTCTATATCAATCAGTGATACATATATACAATTGTCTAACTGCTATATTTATATACTTCACCTCTCTTGTCTCCACTCTCTCGCAATCGCTACTCTAGCCTAACACATATAACATATACATATCTAAACCAATTTTCATTCACACAGACGAATTAGCACCCAATTCGTACAAATTAGATGCTCCATAACAAATATAATTTGACTATAGAGAATAAACAACAAAACTATAGTTATAATATACTAATATAATTTTTATCTTTGCTATTTCTAAAATTTATTCTTACTCTTTTATCGTTTGTAAGAAAAAAACCTATCAACGTGTAATGTATGATTCTAATTTGTTTGGTTAAAAAAAAAGAGAAAAAATGTTTATGGAACGGAAAAGAAAACGAATAAAAGATTAATACCTATAATTTTTTTAGGCGGAATAGTTTGGTGGACCCTTGTATTTGGATGCGTTTGTATTGTGAACCCTTCTACTTACATATTTGTCAACTGAACCCCTAAACTCATCAGAACATAATATTTTAAACCCCTTTGACCATTGACCGAACTTATGTGTCATTGATAATGCTGAGTTAAAAATTTACATAACAACAAGCGTTTGACAGCGAGTGAAATGTATTTTATATCAAAATATCTAAATAAAAATAATAAATATCATTTTTTTTAAAAATAAATTAAAACTCATATTCCTCAACCATCCCTCTCCCACACCACTCCCACCCGTCTCTCCTCTGCCTCAACCCCCTTTCTCTCTTCTCCTTCTTGGAATTTCATCCTTAGTGCCACCACCACTATTACTACTGCTACTATCAACAGTTGCTCAAATAGAAAAATAGAATCAATAAAGGTCCGATTATTGGCAATAAAAGAAAGATTGGATCTTTTTTGATGGAAACGATGACTGAGGCAACTAAGAGCTAAAGTAGAGATGCTACTGCAGAAATTGCAAAAAACTTTCATCTTTAATAGTTTCACTTGCATCCTGAACGCAAAACAGAGTACTAGGAAAGAGTATCAGGGTGCCATTGAATGAAGCAGAGATAGATCAAGATTCTTGGAATAGTGAAAGTATAAATAAATAAATTATCTTTAAGGGTTGGAGGCAAAAATGGTGATGGTGTGCGTCCAAAATGAAGGCAAAATGGTGATAGTGTTCGGCTAAATCTGATGATTGGTGGCTTAGATTGTTGGTTTTGGGGAGATTGGAAGAGGAAAGGAAAATGATGATGATGTGCGAAGGAGATGAAGACAGGTAAGGGTGAGAATATGAGTGGTATCGCCGGAAAAAATGATTTTTCGGCGACGATTTTGGCTGTGAAATAGTGTGAGTAGGAGAGATTGAGAGAGTAATAGAGTTCTACTGTAAAAAAAAATATAATAAATATTTATTCTTTTTCTTTTATGAAACAATTTGATTAATAATAATTTTAAAAATAATTATGACATGACATATATATGTAATGTGGATACGACATGTCATTTATATAAAAGAGACTGAGCTTCACACATCGTTCGAGGGGTTCAAAAAACTCATTATAATTGAATTTAAGGGTTCAATTGACAAACATGTAAATAAAATGGTTCACAATACAAACACATACAAGTACAAGGATCCACTATACTATTCCGCTTTTTTTTTTTAAATTCCTAAATTATTAACAAAAAAATTACTAGTGATCCTTTTCATCCTGGTAGATTAAGCTAGTATTATATTAATTTATGGGCAAGTGATATAAAGCTCATTATTTTAAATTATAATTACTAAAATTCATAAAAGTTTGTCATATTACTTTCTATATTATATTTTGACGCAAGATACATGTCTCATTAAAAATGAGATACATATATTCAATAATTTTAAAAGTCAAAATAACATAGAATTATTTCAAATCACATAGTCAAATTATATGTTAAAATCATAACTTCATATTGCGTACACAAAATGCAAACTTAGATTGCAAAAACTAGATTTTTCTTGTTCTTATAAATTTAAAAAATTACTGTTTTCTCAAATTTTCAATAAGACATCCAAAGGGAAAAAGCTAATGCATCAAGGCTCTACGTGGCAAAATAACATAGGATTCTTTTAAATCATATATTTGAACGATATTTCGATATCATACATTCACATTGCGTACAAAATATACAAGCTCAGAATATACAAAATTAAATTATTTTTCTACAAATTTCTAAAAGCTATTATTTTCTCGAATGTCAAATTTAGATATCTAAAAGGAAAAAAACTTACTCATTAAGGTTCCATGTGGCAAAATAATATAGGATTATTTCAAATCAAATTTTCAAACACTATGTCGAAATCATCCTTTTATATCGCGTACATAAAACACAAACTTATATTGTAAAAATTAAATTATTTTTTCTATAAATTTTAAAAATTATTATTTTCTCAAATTTTAAAATAAATATTCAAAGACTCATCAAGATTCCTTGTGGTAAAATAACATTAGACACACACTTTTAAAATTATAACTTCATATAGTGTACAGATATCAACTCTTTTCTTCAATAAATTTTTAAAATTATTTTCTCAAATTTTAAAAATATTTAAAAGGGAAAAGACTTGCTCATTAAGGTTTGAGGTAGCAAAACAACATAAAATTATTTCAAACTCACTTATTCAAATGCTATTTTAAAATTATAACTTCATGTTGCATACACAAAATGCTAACTTAGATAGTGTACACATATCAACTCTTTTCTTCTATAAATATTTAAAATTATTTTCTCAAATTTTAAAAATATTTAAAAGAGAAAAGACTTGCTCATTAAGGTTTGAGGTAGCAAAACAACATAAAATTATTTCATACTCACTTATTCAAACACTATTTTAAAATTATAACTTCATATTGCATACACAAAATGCTAACTTAGATAGTAAAAATTTTAAAAACCTATGGTAGTAGAGTACTATTTTTTCTATTAAAAACTATTTTCTCAAATTTTAAATTAAATACCCAAGGGAAAAATGTGAGTGATGAAGTATCCACGTGGCAAAATAACATAGGATTATTTGGTATGGGCCCTACACAAAGATATAAAAATAGTACCACAATAACTTCCTCATGACCCTATCTTTTCCCCTTCTCGTTCCTTCCAAATCTCATCTCACTTTCCTCCTTTTTTTTCTCTCTCCTCTCTTTCAATACCGCGAAATCTCAAAAAATAAAATAAAATTCAGTTGTTTATTAATATCATCTATATTTGTTTCTTCATTTTGTAATCCCTAATTAAAACC